TGGGACTTGCCCAGTGTTAAAGCATCTCAGCATAGAGAGTTGGTTTACATAATTACATAATTGACCCACAACCTTTGCAGTGTTTTTTCCCCTAGCTTCTGTCATGCGTATCCCATCATGCAACAGGCCCAAGAACTATGTCAAGGGTCTCGGGGCAAATATTTATCACATGTCCAAAAAAAACTCACTACTACAACTTCCATAGTTATAACCTTGTTACCAACGATTAGATTAACAATAAGAATACTTTAACTCTGTTACGTTAATGAGTTCCTGGCCAGTTTGCTGGTTTGCACGGTTTGCCTTCTGGTGAAATTTGACACTATTTGTCACATCTGCATAAATAGTTAACAAACCGAATAAACAGTGATTTGAAACCACATTACGTGGATGTAGCTGTCAGACAGACTCTTGGATGGTACAGCAGTTTCTTGCATTTTTAATGTGCCAGAAATAGGTGTCACCAAAAAATCCCAAATAAATTGTTTATTTTGTGGAAAATGTCACATTTTAAAAATCGGAATAAATCCTCTCCTGGTGCATTAGTATGCGTACAATCTGGGAAAATGTCACTCATCGAATCCAAATAAACTGGTATAAATCATCCAAAACATACACTCACCACTCCCTACTCTTCTTCATTACCATAGTAGGTAAGGATTGTAAAAATAACATTTCTGTTTGTCCGATTTGTAAGGTAATGTTTCAAAAGTCCACGTGCAACAAATTGCCTTGATTTGAAAATGAGTTACTGCAATCCATCTGTCGTCTAATCATTGTGTAGCATGAGTCCATTTACACTTTTATTTAAATTTTCAATTCTGACCAATCAGGGAAAGCTTGCTTAAGGCCTGAGGCTGGCCTGCTGGAATGTTAGCACGCCCCCTGGTGGCCACTGGCATGCATCACATTTACCATCAGGTAATCTTAGTTTCAGTTAAACACAAGGCGGTATAGTCAGGAATTGGGACCTGAGAAGACGATTAGTCTGAATGACCTCTCATTAGTAGGTTCATCTCTGCATGGTGGCCTTTACGGTTAGCTTATGTGGCTGTGCTGCTGTAAATGTGTGCGACGGCTAGCTGCTAATGTACCTTTATTTACCTGCTAGTCCTCTGATAAAGACGGTAAGGCTTCGTTCATTAAACACCAATGGCAGCGAGATCTACAGTGTTCACTGGCGATGAGTCGTCACAGGAATGAAAACCTGCCTGCAGTACCAACCTGCATGCTTATTTAAAACGTAACCTGGATATTAATCACCAAGATGATTCTCATTCTTATGACAGGAAGGAAGCAACGTTGCAACTACTGGAAGCCAAGGTTGATTTGACACTCGAGAATTTGTTTCAGTAAAAAAAAAAATATGCCTGGTATGGATGTACTGGCATTTTTCAGAAGTCTGGAGAAGTACGCTTCAACTCTCTCGATGCATCCTGTCTAAAGTAGGGACGTTTTCATAGCTACTCTGGGATTAGTGCCGTATGAAGAGAGAACGCCGGACCAGAATGCCTTGCTAACTCCTGTCAGTCCCGTCTCCCAGTCCTCCCGTGATGCAATAAACCAGTCAGCTACTCCAGTGAGGGCAGATATGACTCACGCTTCATGACTGAGGGGATCTGGAGGCAGTGGGGGGATCTTGGCACTGTCCAGGGGCACCAGTACCCAGTCTCCCTGGGGATCCAGCCCGCTGGCACGACTTGGCATCTGGGGGGGGGGGGCTCTGGATGGCATTCCTGGCTAAGGGTCCTTGTTATGGAACCTGACAAGCACATTTGCAGCTCGGGGGCAAGCTTGCAGCTCGACCCTGTTATCCCAGCTATCAGGGTGATGCAATCTGACAGACATGCCGTTCCTGGCACCTCATCCCAATTAGGCTCCCGGAGTCACAAGGAGGGAAAAACTGCTGAGCACTGCAGCTCTGAGGCTGGCAGAGCAGAGCGACCCCTCCCCCCGCCAGCTGGCTTTGCTGTGACACACCCTCCCCCAGCGTGCACAACCTCCAGCATCAGGCAGCACGAGGCTTCACAATATCTCACTACTGGGCATTTTAAATGTGATGCATGCTGATGTCCACCAGGGGGCGTGCTAACATTCCAGCAGGCCAGCTTCAGGCTTTATTCAAGCTTTCCCTGATTGGTTAGAACTGAAAATTTCAATGAAAGTTTAAATGGACTCATCCTACAGGATTACTGTTGCTAAAGCACTCCTGTTTACTGGTGCAGGTGTGACATTAATCTACATGTCTTTCTCCACTATTAGATAGTATCAAAATTGTTTTCTGTACATGAATCACAATGAGTCCTTTGCAGTTATTGTACTAAACAGCCTCTAATATAACTCAATTTAACTTAACAAATCATTATTGACTAATGAGGGTTGCAGTGTTGTTACACTGAAATTATATTGCTTTTTGTATAATTGTAGTAACAGCAGAAGATTTATGGCTGAAACTCGGTGCTGTAGTAGCTCCAGCAATGAGATCCATCCAGCTTTCTGCTCAACAGCAACAACAACAAACAACAACAACAATAATAAATGCCTTCTTATTTACGTATTACTGTCTTACTTTGCCGTGAGTATTACAGGGTTCTGTCCTGGGACCTCTGCTGCTCCCAGCGTTAGCAGTAACAGTGTTAGAGTCTCACTGTTTGGTAAGAGCATCTACACTTTCTTAGCCAATAGCCTTCACTAGGATGAACAAGCTTTACTGCAAATAGCCTGGACACCTGCAAGAAACTTTATATGGCAAATGGACTGCAGATGACTCAAGAAATAAACACATGAATCTGCCACCCGAAAGCTCTCCTGGCTCTTGGGGAGGGAGAGGAAGGGGTGTGTGAGTGAGTGATAGCCACAATTACTGTGAGGAGCAATTAAGCTGAGCGGCTCCTACTGAAATGTGCAGTTCAATGCTTGGGTTGTGAGGTGAGGTTTCGGTCTGTAGTTTGAGGTTGCGTTCTGATTGGCTGTCTGTCACTACATTATGTTGCTTCTCGAGCAGTAAGAGGGCATCTATTGCCGATGTAGAAATTTTCAAATGCTCTGATTCAATAAAGGCCACACTGGCATCTTGCAAGAGACCATGATGGAACCACCACTGCACTATAGAAGACAGGAAGTAAAAATACTTTTCACCACTAGAGGGAGAGATAACACTTTATTGCAAAACACAATTACTGTTGCTAATATTTTTAATATGAATGTTTTTTTGCAGACTACAGTTCTTACATTCTTATTGTTGGAATAGGCAACATTACAGAAGAAAGATTTAAAAAATATATAGATATACAAGAATCATTTTGATAGTTATTAATATTAATTCAACCAGGCACTTGCATTTAACTTGTACTTTAACTAACCTTAGTGTCACATGCTTGTATATATATTTTTTTTTGGATTGTCAAGTATTTTAGTGAGATTGTTTTAGATTGTCAGTATATTAGCAGTAGATTGTTTTCGATTGTTAGCATTTTAGTGTGTCAATGAAATTTCTCTTTATCGTTTCATTCTTATCTGCTTGCCTTAAATTGACTCCCTGGGGACAAATACAGTATTTTGAATTGAATTGAATTACGTAAATTTATTTTTAAAAATCCCCAATTAGTAGTATATATTAGAGATCATTAATTCATTTTGATGTATGATACTACATAGTTGAACATCATTATGAGTGCTCTCTGCCTGTAACCAAACCTCTGATATTCTTTTAAAAAAGCTGTCATTGTAGTAGATTCTATTATGGAACACCTGTTTTTAGTGAATTCCACTCTAGAACATTCCTCAGGCTGGTCAGTGACTTGTACCCCGGCACCCTAGAAGGCTTGTATAGTGCTTTTCTCCCCCCGAATCTGGAGATGTCGTCATAGCCCTTGGTGCAGCGGTGGTACAACGTGAGGATGGCATTTTCCTAAAGTATCAATTTGTTCAGGCAGCGCTGGGCCTCCCTGAGACCGGAGCGCTCTGTGAATAGCCGTCTCCAAATGGGTTTAACGCAGCCTTTGTGTTTCTGGAGTTCTGCTCCTACTCAGAATACCATAAAGGTCAGGCGGCAGGGTGCTTGCTGGAGCCTGGTGAGAGGGCTTGAATAGGAGAGGCAGCCATGGTGATCGGCAGCTTTGTCTTCTCTCCCCACCTCGGCCCCGCTGGGGGGCCTCCAACCGACTTCATAACCGTGCCCTGAAGTCAGGCCCCTACTCCGGTCTGGGATCGGTCATCTATTGGTTGTGTCTGGGCATTCATCGGTCATTTATTGGTTGTGCCTGGGCATTCATCGGTCATCTATTGGTTGTGCCTGGGCATTCATCGGTCATCTATTGGTTGTGCCTGGGCATTCATCGGTCATCTATTGGTTGTGCCTGGGCATTCTGTCACCAAGGTGCGTAATTTGCATGGTGGGGGCTCAGTGCCGGGCGTGGCACGCTCTATCGACCTGGCGGGTCGGCGATGAGATATACCGCTCTCCTGCGGATCTCCTCGCAGCCTGCAGCGTGAAAAATGAGCGCACTGGCGGGGGCGTAAATTGGAGATGCGCTCAGCGGTGCTGGTAGTGATGGCGGTGGGGGGTGGGCGGTATAGCAGTCAGCAAAACATGAGACCAAATTGGCTACTAATACAGGGAGAAAAGGCAGAGAAACAAACCTCAACAAAAGCCAACTTCTGCTAATCGTGGTAATGAAGTGGGAAAAATCTGTGTAATTTTTCAAATAAATTATGGCAAAAATCTAGGGTGTTAATTTATGCACAAATGAAATATCTTGTGCGTATTCATTAGAGAGCAGTAACACCGGCCAAATAAAGTCCCACTGTGCGAAAATTAAATCACAGCAGAGGATGTGATACTGACCACCCAAGCCTGCCGTTCGGAGGTCAGAAGATTCAGAAGCCCGGGTAACACAGCAGACAACCTGAACGCAGCATCGCCGACACGCAGGAATTTACATGTGGTGTTAAGAAAAACAGGTCTTAGAAGTTAGGCTTGTAGAATAAAAACACAGGCGTTGAGGTTCTCACAGAACTTTAATCTAGGTCAAAAGCAACCATACCTTGTGATGAAAAAAAAAACGAGTTCCATTACATCTGTGATCAGATCTGTGTTCTTAGGTATGTACACGTTCATGCAAATTTTACATGTCATGCTTGAAATGTGCCAGATTCAACAGGAAGCACACAGTATGCATGTTTGTTCTGGTCCGTACTGGAGGTGGGAGTGTAGCAGGGGGCTGTGACTTTGTGTGCTGAGCTGCACCACCTTCCTGCTGTAGCGGATCTACTTCAGCTGCTCCTCTTGCTGTCGGTTAAAGTTCAAGAGCTGGGTGTGCTCAGCAGCGCCTCCTGCTGTTGGAAATCTGCCAAGATAAAATAAAAACAAATATTAATTCTCAGATTCAAATCCTGCCATATTGAGGTCTGTGACATTCAGGTGATAGTCCATTGTACAGTTTGTTCAATTTGTGAAATAATCCATCAATCATTTTTCTTTAATATTCCCTTTTTGGCATGAAGCTTAGGACTTGCCCTTCTGCGGAGGCACAAATGGCATTTGGAATTTGATGAAGGACAAAACTGGAAACTAAGAGAAAAGAAAAAATCAACCCCGTTGCACTTACTGACGTCTACCTGGCTTCATCGCGGAGTGTTATGTAGGAGTGAGTTCACTGAGATCACGCTCGTTTTGCAACTGAGGCAGAACAGACACGCAAGCTTGCTGGTGTCAGAAGCAGGATTCAGCGGCCCGTGTTTACACAAGGCTGTAGTTGAGCGACCCACATCGCGGAGAACCGCGGCCCGCCTCCCCGGCCATTTATCATAAACGGCAGACTGTAATGGAAGGACACTTTGAGGAAAAACAAATAAGCTAATTAGTTCCCTATGCAGCTGGCGGTGCATTCATACAGAGAGCATCCCAATTAATCTTTCATACGAAGCCTCGCTGTGAGGCATCCATGTTGGCTGGCCACAAAACCCTGCACTTTACAACAATGCCTGTCAATTAGCCTCGCTGGGCCCTAGCGGGTCCGTTTTGACTGGGGTATTTTTAACCTTAGTGGACACCCTGCTTTAGAACAATGGTGACATAAAGGAAACAGCTCCCCAACAATGGGCATGATTTATCGTCCAATTATAGTCACCGTGTATAGTGCCTGGATGGGATCCGGCACAGCCCTGAATGCACGGACAAGAACGATACGGCCGGGCCGGTTCTTATGCCACTTCGAGTGGAAGAAAGTGACATTGTTATACAATCCTCAAGTCCAGAATGTGAGCCGTTTAGGATCTGAAACACTGAGAGGCTAATGAGTGCATGCAAGAGCATGCAGGTGGTTGTGTGAGTGCATGCTTTATGTGTCCTGCAACGGACCGATAACTGATCCAGGGTGTACCCCTGTCTTGTGTCCTTTGCTTGCCTGGGATAGGCACCATGTCCCCCAAGACAATGTCCAGGATAAGTGACAGGAAGATGGATGGACCGATTTGCATAAAATGCAATCCTGGGTTAAAGAAAGGCAATCGCTTCGCCTTGGGCAATCATACATTTGGGAAATGAGCTGGAAAAAAAGTAATAAGAAGTACAATAAACCATTATTATCAGCAAACAATAAGAGCGATCAGAGAAGATGACTTCTAAACCTCCCACACAAAAACATATTCGCTTCTTCCAGCAGCTGGATTTCAGAAAACTGCACCCTCATTATGGCGGCGCTCTGTTCCATGTGTGTCTTCGGTGCAGCGCTTAGGTAAAGGTGCATTTTCACCAGTCATTCTGAGCACCACAGCCAAGGCAGCAGGACCGAGGCAGCCTCCAAAACAGGCCCTGCCCACCACAGCCAAGGCAGCAGGACCGAGGCAGCCTCCAAAACAGGCCCTGCCCACCACAGCCAAGGCAGCAGGACCGAGACAGCCTCCAAAACAGTCCCTGCCTACCACAGCCAAGGCAGCAGGACCGAGGCAGCCTCCAAAATAGGCCCTGCCCTGGGGCAACATGCTGGCCCAAGAAGAAGAGGCCCAATCTGCGAGTCAGCTGACATTGTGCCTCTCCCAGCTTAATCCACTGTCCCGTTTTCCCCAGCGACTCAGAACATCATTAACTCATGTCATTAGGTTACCCAGAGAAATGTAAACAGTTAGGTAGTTTTTCTTCGCTGATGTAATTCAGGTTAAGAGACTTCACAGGGCCTGAACCCAAAACTGCAGGACCAGGCTGGTAACAACCTTCATTAAAACAAGAAGAAGCCACATTCAAATAGCACTGCAGGTCAAAAAACAGTGACCCGAGACAAACGTGTCAGCCCTGTTTGGAACAGCACTGGCACCTCTCACATAAACAGGTTAAGGGGGGATTTATTGTGCTATGGAACACAGCTAGTGATTTTGTTATTGCACCGTTTCCATGACAATAAGCAAAAGGCGAAAAGTAACTGCCCTTGACCCACGGCGCTCACAATATTTACTGTGTTGAGTAATTAAGGCATGCAGAAAGGCTACCATGCAAGAAGAACCTGCGTTAATACATCATTAATACGAATTATTAACGTTATTCAGCAACATCGTTATCGTGGGCCATAAGCACCCTTCTAAAACACTTCTACGTGAGAACAGCTAATAACAGTGACTGTAAGTTCCAGTTGAGCTCTTTCTGGGTCACGGGCAAACAAAGCCTGACCATTTAATAGTGATCAAAGTATGGAGCCTCATGTTTTCCAGCACTGGAGGAGGGCAGTGGACAATAGCATAGAGGTTGACGTTCTGCAGACGCATCTGGCTCGCATAGCCGGCCCATAACGGACCCGGAGAGGTGCTACCCTGGTTCTTTCACATTCCGGCACCTTCAGCAGTACCGGGGAGACTGAGAAAGGAACAACAGCGTCAGAGAGTTCTCTCACGGCGTCCCAGATATGCCAGGGAAGAACAGGTGCAGTTTGGGCGGCGGTCCGTCTGGGTAACTATCCTGCGTGTGTTGGAAGGACTCACTGAAACCAACCTGTGCATCAGGGGAAACCTTGGGGTAAGACCGTCCAATCAGGTTCTAGAAACATATATCCCTGGGGAAGGGGGGGGGGGTGGGGTGGTGCCCAGTAATTACAACAGAACCGCTTCCCCGAGTCACGATGGTTACGGTACTTCAACTTTACGATGGGTATTCCAGTTTTTTCCTTTCCCGGGCAAAAAATATGTGGTATCATTCTATTTTTCCACTATCAGTACATTATTCAATAAATTACATGAGATATTCAACACTTATATTATAAAGTAGGCTTTATGTTAATGATCATCTGTAGGCTAATGTAAGTGCTCTAAGCATGTTCAAGGTGGCGATGGATTAGGCTGTTCTGTTTGTTAGGTTAGGTGTGCTGTGTAACAAAGCATTGTCACCTTACGATAAGTTTATGGGAACGTAACCCCACTGTAACTGGGGATCTCCTGTATTCTCAAACTTTTTAAATTACATAAAAAGCATGATGCAAAACTGCGGAGAAGCTAAGCTCCGATGCTTCTCTTTTTAAGAAAATCATTGTATAAAATTATGCATAACAGCCTCTTGTAATACATACTTCTAAAAGCAGTCTTCAAGGATCCCCATTAAAACGGTACCTTTTTTTCCTGAAAGGCAGCAAGAACAAAGGCTGTAATTTGTGCCCCCGAGGGTGACGGTGTGTCTTGCATTCGAAGGCTGATATCAGCTTGGCCCCATATAATAGGAGCACTAGCAATCAGCGCTAACGCGCGTCTCATTTGCGAGTCAATGAGGCGCTTCGGTCTGGCCACTGAGACCTTCCCCGCTGCTTTTCCCGCCGCTGTAACCGGGACGCATTTCATTTTCGCCGCTCAGCGGGACGCCGAGGCGGAACGGGCCCTAATAGGCGAGAGGTGGGAAAGTACGTTGGGCGACGCAGACCGTCTCGGGGAACCTCGCCGGGCCGATTTCATTCACAGAAGCCGCCGGGAATCGGGCCCATTACTCAGCGCTCATGTCTGATCTATGTTTTAGGGGAGCGATAAATGTAATGGCTCTTTTTATAGGCATCAAAAATTTGCAACTATACGACATAAACCGTAAAAAAAAATAAAAAATCTGAAAATCAGCTTCTAGCTAGCTAGTTTTGGCTGTTTCAGAAAAGAGTGCCGGAATTTTGTGACGCCCTAAAAAAAAGCCAGTTAGTGTTAGCTGAGTATCAGTTACACAAGCTTGGACCTTTAGGCTGGGGGGGGGGACTTCATGGTAACACCCCTCAGAGAGACACCTGACAAGGTGCCTTAACATATGAGACATAGTTACAAATAACAAATTGGAATATTACTAAATTAAAGAAAACCATAATGACAGCAGGTCTGAACGGAACCCCAAGCATAATGCGATCCACACAAGTTCTGTGAACTGTTGAGACAACTGGCAAGGCCCTACAAAAGGACGGCATTATGGGAAGGCGGCGCGCTGTGGAGCCCCGGCGGCCACGGCGGCACGCAGAGAACCCTTTTTCTGCCCTGATAGATTGATTATGTGCTGTCTGCGTCTCCTCAAAGGCTTAATCGTCTGAAATAAGCCGTCTACGTCCAGCCTCCTCGGCGCCAAAAGAGACGGGGCCTGTCACTCCACCGCGCTAACCACTATCTCGACGGCACCCAAGCGGATAACTGTAATCGTTTCCCACTCGTTTCCCATTCTTTTGTTTTAAGCTAGCGTAATAACCGCTTTCGATCAGGTGCCCCCTTTTCAAGAAAGGCCTCGACGGATGTCTGGCTTCCTGGGATTTGCAGCGCTACCTTGGGATTTATATTAGACTTAATGTTACAAACTGATTTTTCCTCAAATTGTTAAATGTGAAAACAGGACTGCATGAAAAGTAGCATGTTGATTTCTGTTTGTGCATTATAGTCACGTGTGAGAAGGGAACTTCTCCCGTGTGATTCCTGACAGTTGATGTCCTGCAGGAAACAGATGCAATAGTTACCCACTATTTCTCCTTATACTGAGCCGGATTTCACACTGCCTTTTCCGGCAGGGCTTAACATTACAAGTCACAGCATGGGTGACGATTCCAACATCTACGTCCAAATCCTATCAGTCCTGACCGAGTATTGCAAACCTCGACACCCAAGTCCTACTGCTTAATGCCAAACTCAAAGCCCAAATACATTTGATCAGGACTGATTAATCTTAACCTCGATGACCAATTCCTATTGGTCAGGAAGGATTTTTGAAATCCTATTGGTTGGCATTGATTAATGCGGAGCCTTGAATCATTCGTACGTGAAAATAAAGCACCGAGTGCCAAGAGAACTTCTTCTTTCATATCTGGCCTGCATTTGTCCTGTACCTCCAGTTGGGGGGGGGGGTGACTGGCTTCAG